CTTTTAAATGTAGAATCTGAAAAGCTTGAAGTTGTAGAAAAACAGTAAAATGGTAGTTATCAGAGGTTGGGGAATCAAGAAGCTATTGGCCAAAAGAAGTGAAATATCATACAGAAAGAATAAGTTCAAATGATCTATTGTAAATTTTAGTAACTATACCTAATAGCAAGATTATATATTTGAAAATTTCCAACAAAGTAGATTTCATATATTATCACAACAAAAGCATGTGAGGCAATGCACATGTGATATGCCATAAAAACTATATATCATGCAGTAATAGATATACCATGCATGTATCTATATCACCACTATTTGTAAATTAAGAAATGAAATATGTAGATATTTGTATTTATTCCTCAAAGATATTACATTAATATTTTATGGGTAGGCACTCTACTAAATCATGAAATAATGAAAGCAATATATTGAAAGGTTATGTACCCTATTACTTGCTGCAATGTTATTCTATTGTACCTATTCTGCTGATATACTGTGTAGGGGGTGAACAGGAGGGTCCTACTGGGGAGTCCATGCTGACCTACAGTAGGCCAGGTGGACCTCAAACTCACAGTGATCTTCCTGTTTCAATTTCCTTAGTGCTGGGATTATAGGCATGTGCTACTTTGTCTGGCCACACTATAGTCTTTTTAAGTTATCTATCATAATAAAAGCAAAAAATAAATAAATTAAAAATAAAGAGGATAAAATCTTTTAAATATTTAAAGATTCTATTAGAAAAATAGGCTTTTTCTAACTTTTTCCCACTAATCACTTGCTGCTTTCAAATGTACAAGTTATATGAAACAACTTCTATTGTATGGTAGTCTTGGTCATGACCAGAGAAATGGAACACAGCATATCTAAATTACTTTCTAAAGACTCTAAATTTGAAACAGTTTTTAATTAGGTGGTAGAAAGTGTTAGCACAGAAAGTAACTCGCGTTTAGTGCAAAGCTAAAGATCTTGAACTCAATTTTCAAGGCCAAATCATGGCAAACATCCATGAGATGTTGAGGGAATTATCATGATTGACTAAAGGCATCTTCGACTTGACAGGACAGTATTAGGGTGACCTATGGAATAAACTATCACTGGGAGGTCTGTTGACTGTCCATTACCACCAGAGTTACCAATGACTGTTAAAACAGTAGCACCTAAAAATGCCAATCACAGTCAGAAGGCATAATTGGTAGTCAATTTACGACAACCAGTGAGAATATATTAAACTGTCTAAAAGCAAACTAATCACTGTTATTGAAAAATTCTGACTTCTAAAGATTTTTTGAGATTTTTAATACTGACAGAAAAATCGAAAGTTTGTGTTCTGTAAAGGTAAGATTTCAGTCATTGTGTGGCATTCTAAAAACCTGATTATTCTTGCTTCTGATTTGGCTGTATATTGGGCCAAAATTATGCCACTTATTACATTACTGAACGCTACAGGAAGCAACCTAACTGTGCCACATGTAATCAAATTTGATAAAGAAAAAGAAATAGTAATTGCTGATGGTGTCATTCTAGCATTTTTAAAAGGGAGACTTAATTAATACATTGTAACAACTTTTGTTATATTTTTAACAACTGTCACATGAATCTTTTGTATTGAAATTTTTAAAAAGTCCTGTATCAGTAAATACTTAAATAGATCTTCAACTGTCTAACCATGGAGCGTAAACAGCTTTAGATCCCGAATGGCAGCACATCCCATATACTCACGACAGTCATCCGGCTCATCAGATCCATCGCCACAGTCATCCACGGTATCACATTTCCACCAGAACGGAATGCACTTGTCAGTTTTGCAACGAAACTTTAAAAAAAAAAAAAAAAGAGGGAAAAATACAAGATCCATTTAGAATTTCACAGACGCAGCACAGCCATTCACGTTCTTAAAATTGTGAATTATACTGGATTTAAAGCCTTCTACACTAGATAGTAGATATGTAAAAAGTAGCCACGGGATCAGACAGAAAGCCCATTGTTCAAAGAAACTCCGGAGAGTTTCTGTGCACGTACTCACTAAGTGACATGCTGCCTTAGGGGCACTCAGATTCCAAGGCCCTACTTGAGAAGCTGCTACAGGAACCCAATTAAGTCCTATAAAAACTCAAGCAGCATCTATCCGCACATTCACTTTCACAGTTGCCCAGAAATGTAAACATATATGCAGACATATTACGTGAAACAATCACATACATATCCAAGGAGAACAGCGTGCAATCCAGTTGCTCACTGAACAGCAGTCACCAAGTGAGACTCTGCGGATTGCCCTGGAGGCAGGGCACCCCTGCCTAGTGACCCTCCTCTTTGCGTGCAGCCCACACCACTCACCATCACTGACACTAAAAACACAAAGGCATGACCATCCCGGCCCAGTGAGAGGCACTCAGATGTCCAATAATTTGTGGGCTCAGCTATACATTAGGTCCTCAGTGCAACTGTACTTTATCCACTGTTTAGTTTTGTTTCTTATTTTTCCTGCTACAGGATTTAGTTTCAGTGTTTGTCCATTAAAAACATGCATGCCTCAAAGTCTGTCTTTGGAGAGGCAGGCAAACTATTTCCTAACACGCATATTCTTTCAGAGTTAATAAACTTCAATTGCTTAAAAAAATAAATAAATAAATAAAGTATTTATGCTCTAGGCAAAGGAACAGTTAATGCCTAATTTTTAAAAAAATATTTTCAACCAACTTTTCTTGCTTATATATGATAATTTGAACCACTACTTTGAAGACTACGATATGTAAGTATAACAACTATTGTTGCTTTCCTGTAATCTTGTTTACAAATTCTGTATCATTTATGCATTTTTTATTTTTATTCTCTTTAACATAAAAGTAAACCTGTAAGAAAAGCTTGCTAAAAGCTAAACATGGCTAAAATTAGCAAGAAAATCAGGAAGATATATCAAATAGCATTAATCTAGTTAATTTGGATGATTCATTGAATGACACTGTTTTCAGAGTCTTGGGCTCCTCAGTACCCCTCAGGCTGTGATTTTCAGCCTCCAGCTGAGGAGCTGCAGATCACTGAGAGGAGCCGGGCCAGTTCTGCAACGCTCTGCTGGCGTGGGAAATTTCCTTCACACTAAAAACATCACATTTACTCTAACATCGGCCTGTATTTAGGATGCTTCTTGGAAACAGTGGAAGCCAACACAATAATTTTCAGATTTTTAGAATGATTAATAAACACATAATGCTTCTCAAGATAATACATGGATGTAGCTTTCAGAAATCCTTTTCTAATGACATTTATTTTAAGCAGAAGCGCAGGAGTATGTTAAGACTTACTAAAATTATATGAATAACTTTATTGAGAATGGGTCAGTTTTTATTTGTTCTCACATCCTTTCTATTTAAAATACTTGAAGAAATATACATAGAAAAGGAAATAGTTTTGCTAATTAGAAGAAAGAATAGAGTTTTGTTTTTAAATTGTCTTTTAAAATTAGCCGTTACATAGAAAATATGCAATCAAGATGCTAGTTGAAATGGTTATCTAGTAATATTTAGGTATAGTCTTTTACTAGAAAAATAATTTCAGAAAGTCAATATTGAATGCTATTCATTAAAAGTAAGGAAATTTTAACCCAAAATAAACCACATCAGGGCACAGAACTATTTAACTTAACAACACTCCTAGATAATTGTTCACAGTGACTAAAAAAGATCAATTTATTCCTTAATGATTTCTGACTACAAATTATTTCCTTTCTTACCAACATGCATATAGGAAAAAGAAATCATAATTTCCATATGGAGAAATGCTGCATGTAATGTAGTTACTATTAAAAATTTCTGTGTAAATTATTAAACATATATATATATATATATATATATATATATATGTCAATTTCTTTTAGTACTGCTAAATTGATTTCTTTTTATTTCAATAGAAATTCAGTGAAATATACATTACATTATTTGGTGCTTTTATAATTTGTTTTCTTCTTGAAGTGTTATAATACACAACTGTGTGACAGAGAGCTGGCATCTATCTTAATGTATTATATGCAAGAAAAATTTCTCACAGAAAAATACAGCCTTAGTTCAATTATCTCTAAAGAAAATAGATTAGCAATCTAAGAGTTAATTTACTTAAAATACTATCACTTTCTTCCATGAAGAGAGAATAATTTCATGTTAGTTTTTGCATAAGCCGATGGTATCTTGGAGTTGATTTAGGAAAGAGTTACATTAAATATGAGAGTGAATTTTTCTTTTAGCACTACATGGGAGGAAATAGAACAGTTTGAATCTAAGCAGAATACAAAATGTTGAAGGGTCTTTCTATGCTTGCTTAACCTGGGGTCATTTCTGTTGTGGTTTTTCAGAAATTACGAGAGGGGGAAAATTACCTTCATTCATAGAGACTCTCTGGAGAAATGAGGCTAACACTAAATACAAGTGCTGAGGAAATTAGATATGTCCAGGCATTGCAATATATTGAAGCACACTACTAAGAGGATTGGAGTCTTCTCAGTGTCTTCAAAGTATTCTTGACCATGTTTAGAAAAATCACTAAAGTGTATTTTTTTTAATTCACTGAATATATCTGAATTAAATAAATGAATGTTAGAATTACATATGACATGATGATCTTTATCGCCATTTCATTTTTAATAAGAACACGTAATTTTGAGGTAAAAGAAGCCTGGATAAGATGCAGTTTTGTTAGCTTTTCATTTTTTTTATGAATTTAGGACAGGTTCTACAGTCTACAGAGCCTTACTATGTAGATTGGACTCCTAGGATTCTCCTCTTTTCAGCCTCCCAAGCGCTGGGATTACAGGTGGGCACCACCATGCCCAGTCTCAATCACCATCTCAGGGCGCCCCAGGTGTTTGGGCTGGCACGGCTTGCCAGGGATCAAGCGCGGCCTCTGTGCTCTGGCTAAGCAGGCTCTTTAGTCTGCTGAGCTATCTGGCAAGCTCTTAACTTTTCATGTTAATCAACGTTTATTCTCTGGGCCAGGGAGATGGCTCAGTTGAATAAGTGCTTCCCTGGCAAGTGCAAGGGTCTGAGCTCAATCCCCGGTTCTGTCAAAAAAATCCAACCAACCAACCAACCAACCAAACAACAGCAACAAAAAATATCTATTCTCGGATGGTTTCTTCTATTTAATGACTGAGTTTGGTTTTCCACATTTATTTTTGTTTTTTTAAAGGAGATCAATAATCAATACAAATATAAAATATTTTACATAGTAAATGTTCTATGATGTTATTATATTCATGAAAATTACATTGTACTTATAAGCCACAAAAAGAAGCTATGAACAATTAAACAAATGTCTCCTGACAGGAACACAAAAACAAAATGCAAATCTTAGTGTGTTGAAGGATATCTGAACTATAAAATGTCTCCACTTTAAACATAGGTAAAATCTATTTTTAAAAATTGATTTCCAATTAAAATGATTTAAGTTAATCATGTTTATTGATCAGTTATGTAAGAATTGGAATTTCTGTTGATTTTACATATCCTCACATTGTGTCACTCATTCTTATTACTGTGAGATGCCAACATATTTTTCTAAAAATCCATTCTATCTTGATATTTCTTTAGTATTTCATTGGTAGCAATCATTAGGTGATAACAAATTAAACTCCCTTGCTATTATTTTTTTTTTTAGTATCAAGACCCAAACTCGACTTTTCCTTGCCAGTCAGGACTTATGCAGCTGAACTATCTCCTCACCCTCAGTAATGTTTATCAGAACACTTACGCTATGACTGTGAATTACTAAGCTTGCCCTTTTAAATGCCTGCCTCAGTGAACATTCTGTTTCCATGAATCGATTTTTCTCTAAGAAGTTTATAATAGTGAATTTTTTTCTTTCTTGAGATTAGACAAATATCATTGGTAAAGCAGCTCTATAAGCCAAAAATCTTACAGGAATAGCCACTACTGCATGTTAGCTGTTTCTTATTATCTTTTTTATTGCAGATAATACAAATGAAATAATAACATTTATTTTTTAAAGTACTGCACATGAAAACAAAGCTTTCTTGTCCACACCACATTCTATTTAAAAATCCATGATGAAGTCGATCAAGTATTTAAAAAATTCTAAGCACTGTCGTCTTGCCATTGATATCAAATTGGGAAATAACTTAATTATATAAATGATAGTTTCAGGCCAACTAAGGATTTTTATTAATTGGCTGATCAGATGTTTGGCACTGAGCACACATAACTATCAATGTTCTTGTGAGATGTTTTGGAAAGTTGCATTTCTTTCATGTTTGTGCCAAGACTGTTTTCTTGTACTCTGCATGTGGGCTCTCCAGCCACAATGTGGCTACTGAAGACACTACTTATTGGTCAGTTCCAACTCATTGATTAGGCTTGCCCGATGCTCTGCAGCATGGGACCAAAGGTGTTTAGCATAACCAGCAGGATGTGCTGGTTGGAAGTTTTACTAAACAAAACTAATATGACTTATATTTTGATATTATAATGTTCCCATTTTCCATTAAATTTTACTATTAATTAGGGAATAATATTCCAGAGTGATTTAAATTTCCAGCTCTTTGAAAAAAATGCATTTTCAAAGTGCATTATAATGAGGAAATTATAATGAGAACCAAACACTTGGAGAGAAAAGCAAAGTCCACGACCTGTGCTTTCAACCAGACCTGAGATCCTTCTGATGGCAGCATACACTAAGCACACATTTGCTCTTTTAATTATATTCCAGTTGCACTCAAGAGCAAGGTTAATTGCAACAACTATTACACACCACAGACTTTTCACATTTATTGTCATAAGAACTACCTGGAAATATGATTCCTTTTGTTGGAAAGTCTCCTCCAAATCTCATGTGGAAATTTGTCGTTTGATGATATTAGGAGGTGGGACCTTAAGAGATGATTTTGTAAAATGATCCACATTCATGAATGGATTCCTGCGGCCTCCCGGGAAGCAGGAGCTGTCTCAGTATAAAGGGGATTTCTCTCACTGTTCTTTTTCTGCCTCTTCCTGTCCTCTACTTCATCCTTTCAACCTGTTTAGGCTTTTCATATTGAACATCCGTGTTCAGATTTATGAGAACTGATGGAATATCATGCCTACATCTGGTAATCTGAGCAAATACGTTGAAGACAACTATATGCAATATAATAACCATTGTTAATTTCCTATCATCTGATTTTGAAAATCTGTATAACTTGTATCACTTTTTTCACTTTAAAATAAAAAAAATATCGTACAAGAAATAAATCCAATTTTAAAAAAATTATTATGTCCATGTTTTTCACTGACATGATAGAAAATCATCTGAGAAAACCAGGGCACCATTTAAAAGTGGAAAAAAAAAACAAGGATCCAAGTGTTAGGTAACAAATCTAGGTAAACAAGCCAGTTGAAAGAGGGTTAATGATCAAGTGACGCTAGCGTCAGTCTTTGCTCCTACCCATTGCAGTACGGACATGCTGACAGGGTCTGTCTTCTTTCTGTCCCTACAAATAGGAATCATTTTTTTTTTATCAACGAGGCACACTGTGCTACTATTAATTTCTCTATTTTGAACATAAGCTTACTCAAAGAAAAATTCAGTTTCTTGCTGTAAAGTCACTGCCCAAAAATGGAAAATCAACAAATATAAAGCACAAAATTCTAAGAGTAAATTCAGTAGTTTAAAAAAAATACATCAAGGAAGGCTGGTGAGATAGCTCAGTGGAATAGGCACCTGCGTAGGCAAGTGCAGGGACTGGAGTTCGATCCCCAGTACCACATGCCACGCCAGCCCCACCCCCGGCACACTGAGGCTGGGCATGGTGGGGCAGGTCTGTAATCCCAGCACTGGAGAGGCTAAAAACAGCAGGATCACTATGAGTCTGCGCTGTGTAGTGAGACTCTGTACCAATTACATTAAAATAACAATAAAATAATATAAATAAATAACTCAAGCTTAAACATTTATCTCAAATGAAGCAAGGTAAGCACTCAAAGGTAACAAAGTAGCACTGTACAGTGCCACATGATTGGTCTCTAGGCTTGAAAGCATTAAACTTGAGTTCATACAACTATCATTAAGTAGAAAATTCTTCTAGAATAGTGTCAGTAAAAGTAATTTAATTTAGAAGAAAATTACTATTTTCACAAGGAAATCATTTTGCCTTTCAATTAAGAAATATCTAGAGGATTACTTTATATCCAATTATTTTTTCTGCTGTCAGAGCTTGTGAGCCATAATGGGTGGTGATGTGAAGGATCATCAGAGCAAATTATCTAGGAAGATGATTTAAATTTCTCTAGCCTCCATTGTCCAGTCACTTTAAACTATGTCAAGCATCCCCTGACAAGGTCTCTATGACCATTGCAGATATGAGCTGTTACTTGGGTAAGAAAGTTTTTAAATTTTTTTTCCTCTCTTCCCTTGTGTCTAAATACTATCTTTTTAAAATCTCTGCAATTAGTTTATTAGTATCATCCAAGACTCAGACGTTCAGTATTCCTCCTGAATACTGAAACGCAAATGGAAAGAACCCAAGTTAAAATTATGTAACAAACAGCCCTCACTCCTTCACAAAGCGTGTGGAATCGCAAGAGCCCTGTTGTAAAACACCGACACTGTAAGAGTAATAATCTCTCTCTTTTATTTATCTATTTTTTTTGTATATTAGAGAAGGACCTACAGGGTGCTCAGGGTCTCACTACTAGATAGGACTTGTGGTGATCCTCCTGTTTACAGCCTCCCAAGAGCTGGGATTACAGGCGCGTGCCACCATGCCCAGTCTCATTCACCATTTCAGCACACCTCAGGGCGAGGCTAGCACACAGAAAAGTAGTAATCTCAAATCCCTCAAAACTGGCAAATTTTTCCTTAAACTGCTAAGCAGACAAACATGACACCAGTAAGTTCTATAAAGAAAAACTCAAATAAATTTGTTTAGTCGCGCTTAAAATGTGAAACTCTTTTTTTTTTTTTCTGTTTAAACAGGAGACCCCAATATAGAAATTCTATCCCTTTCTAATTTGTGGCCTAACTTTAAAACTTTTACCAGAATCAAGTTTCCTGAGCAGTCCATATTTAAACAAATGGGGAAAGGCATATAAAGCCAACACTTTCACTGCCTGTGAATGCTAACCAAAAACTGGAGTCTTGTATGTTAAGCTTATTCTTTTGGGGATGCATACTCAGGCCTCCTTTAATGTGGGAACTGAACAATATAACTGCCTAATGGTACTGAAAATACCACTAGGACAGGGTTACCTAAAGACACATTTGGTAATGTATTGACTATACTAAAAAAAGATACTGTACAGTTTAAAAACAAATGTAACACAGCCTTATATTTCAATTTTTTTTCTTCAAAAGGAATGAGTTGTTCATAGGGTGATTAAATACAAAAATGCACTAGAGACAATCCCATGGTAATGGGAGTTAAGAGTCCTCATGTAAAAATCAGAATGTACTTTTTTCTATTAGTCCTTCAAGGACAGATTTTTAGATTGCTTGATTCTAATAATCTCATTGCATCTAAGAACAAAACTAACTACTTTTTACAAAGAGCTATGTGAAATGTTTTATCAATAAGTGAGATTTTGGAGTTTTATGGATGAAATGTTGTCAATTTGACTTTTATTACCCCGTCACAATACGCAGAGTGAACAAACGGAAGCTTGGCATCCACTAACTATATGAAAAAATAAACAGTAATGATTCATGTGATTCAGAATCAGCAAAAGCAAGACCAGCCTCTTTTCAAGAAGGAGTTTTAGACCTATGAAAAGAACAATAATACTAATAAAAAATTGTATTTACTTAGAAGCATTCAGAATGTCAGCGAAATAGTTGCACTTTTTTTTTTCAGTTACAGAGTGGTATTCAATTTACAGAACAATTATTTCACATAAGCTGCAACAGAACAACTGGAGATAAAAAATTACCATCCCCATATATAACTAATTCATGCTTTGCACCAACAAGAACCTGCTGTAAATTTCGGTGCCAGTTTACGACCCCCATACTATATGAGGCAAGGTTAGTGGCTATTGAAAATACCACCAGGACAAGGATACCTAAAAACACATTTGGTGTGTATTAATCATACAAAAAAGACACTGTACAGTTTAAAAACAAATGTTACATAGCCTAATATTTCAATTTTTTTTCTTCAAAAGGAATGAGTTGTGTATAGGGGGATTAAATGCTTTATAGACAAGAAAAAGTTTGCACTAGAATCAACTTATTCATCATCATCCTCTTCGTCATCCTCCTCATCCTCTTCATCCTTATCTTCCTCATCCTCCTCCTCTTCCTTTTCTTGCTTTTTTCAGCCTTGATGACACTCTTTTTCTGCATCAGGTCTTCCTTTAGCCCGGTAGGCAGCGATGTCCTTTTCATACTTCTTGAGCTTAGCAGCCTTCTTCTCATATGGTTACTTGTCATCTGCTGCAGTATTATTCCACATTTCTCCAAGTTTCTTTGGGATATCACCAATGGAGAGGCCAGGATGTTCTTCTTTGATTCTGGGGCAATACTCAGAACAGAAAAAGGAGGCCGACGGAGGCCTCTTGGGCGCACTGGGATCTTTGAACTTATTTTATGTTCTCCTTTAGGATGAATATAAATTTCTTTTCTCTTTCATAATGAGCCTTGTAGACCTATGCCATGTCTTCAAATTTTCCTTTCCTGTGGTCTTCCACCTCTTTACTCACTTCTTAAAAAACTCTGAGAAGTTAACTGAAGCATCCGGGTGCTTCTTCTTGTTCTTCTCTTGGCAAGTTTGCACAAAGAATGCATATGATGGCACCTTGGCTCTTGGCTTCTTAGGATCTCCTTTGCCCACGTTTACTTGTTTTCCTCAGTGAGGTAGAGAGTCGCTCAGTGCCCATCCAGCTCTCACTTACACTGACGCTGTCTCTGTGGAGCTCAATGTACTATAATAGCTATGAGATTGGGAGCCAGACACCCTTAAGTAGTATTTTAAGGCTATCTGTAAATATTCATGTTTTTAAAAATTACAAAAGACCAAAACTTAATATTTCAATAGCAGCTCCTAGACACATGCATACTCAGGAGAAACCTGTACAAAAACATACTCATGAAAAAATAATTGCTCCAAACGGCCCACAAGATGCTCCCAACACTTCGACTCACTTGACTGGCTGTGCAGTTAGATAGGCAAGTCCTGTTATCAGTGGCAAGGTAGAAGTTGGTGGGACATGCACAGGTATGGCTCTTCCCAGGTGCCAACAGGCACAGGTGACTGCAACCACCATTATTAATCATGCAGAGGTGCTTGGAAACTACAAAAGAAAAAAGAAAAACAATGATGAAACATGGGATTAGAGCTAGGACATTTGAACTTCAGAACTTCAGAACGTATATTTGAACTGATTTTTGAAATAAAGAACTGGTCATGAATATAATTATAAGGGACATTTTACAAATGTCTCTCATGATCTAGTGACATCAATTTGATAGTTAAACAATTTTAAGTATTTCTACCAAGCAAACATAGAAGGAGAAAAAGTATTCGGAATAAAATAGAGACCAGGAATATTTTGGATGAAAACTTAAATATGCTTAGAAATATAAAGTAAAAGAAAATATGAAATGATGATCTGTAGCTAATAGTGTTGGGGCTCTGCTTTGTGAGCCTGGTTATTTTTCAGTGAAATGATCAAAGCTTTATTCCATAATGCCTAGTAGAAAACCTATTAGATGAATGTATAAGCAAATTTATTATAGTTATAGTGTTTTAAACCCTAAGGTATTTAAATGTTATTCTTTCCACTCAGCATTCTAAGTATCTTATAACTAATTGAAAAAAATTACTTGACAAATTTAATCTCCAGTTTTCTAATCCCATTTCATTATTATCTCAGCTAAATATGATTTGAACAGATCAATAATTGCGCACTAATTGAGTTTCTCTCCTATTCTTTAATAGCAGTCTTGGTATCAGCTGAGTTCCTTGTAAAAAGTAATGCTAACAAATGAAATCTTGCCCTTTCATCAAAAGTAAAATTAAACTGAACCTTGATAGGATAAGAAGTGGAATACTACTGAAAGGTGCAGATGCATTCATGGAAATCGTGGAAAGAATAATTACCATCAGGCTGTCTGTAAGAATGATACACCTGGACGTCAGTGATGACATGCCATGAGTTAGCCAGGGAGAGTCTGTCTGCTCCTGAGGTTTTATGGACACGGCTGAGTGACTTGGTTTTCCCGTCAGTCCAGTAGATGTAGTCTTCAAACAACGTTAGAGCAATCACCCCTGGAATATCTTGATTAGGGACTGTAATAGGAGATGGTAAGATTAATGTTCAGTCTTGGAAGACTGCCAGTTAAAATATTCAGTACTATGTGGGCTGACAGACATGACTGCTACAGAACTTTGTGTGAATAATTGCTGTGACAGCCTGTCAAGCCAGCAAGGGTCTTTATTACTGGTTAAGTAATGTAAAAGTGGGCTCAGGAGTTCACTTTTTTCAGATTTAGCTTGGTTCTACCACTGGGAAGAAAATCAGTGATATTCTGCTCACCCTAAGGACAACTACTTCATCAGACATAAGTGACATCCAATGCATTAAAATCCAACAGTTGAGATTATTTAAATACCATTCAAGCTGTGTAAATTTTTGAATTTAAAGGCCATTGACCACTTCTGCCCCCATATTTAAAATGATTAAATCATGCATCAATGATCAAGTGTGTCTACTACCTGGAAACAGAGCACTACGAGATTATTACAACCATCTTAGTCATTGAGAGTTTTACCTGTAAGATGAGCTAAAAAAAAAGCACAAAGTGGAAATGTAGAAAGAAATGATGATAAATTACACAGATACAAGATTTGTAAAACTGTTTAGTAGCAGATAACAATGGTTTCCTGTTTATATTTTCAATATAAAATTTATTTAAATATATACAATGGATTGAAAATCACAAATGTAACAATTTCAATAAGAGATTCCAAGGTCATACCAGATTAATATGATACAATAAAGTTATCTTTAATTGGAGGTCCTAACAATTTTCATTACAGAGTTTTCACTGTGCTCCTAGTTTCTCAAAATTATTAAATTTATCAAATTCAGAAATTTAAAAATGAGTACATTCTAATGCAGTTTTCTGTTATAATTTTCAAATAACTTTTAAAGTTCTATATTTATTAAAAGGCATTGAGGCTCCAGGAATATATTCTTTTTCAATAGCTAGATTTTAATTGTGAGAATTAATGTTTGTTATATTCCTGTTCACTAGCAACTAAAATCCCATCAAAATTTCGAATAAAATTTAGGCTCCTATGCAGCTAACAATTTCATTTTATAAATGAGAGTTAAGTATATGATATCAACTAAAATTACTTGAAATTTAATGATTTGTAATTTTCATTAAAGTAGGTCAAATAGCATCAGAGAATTCATTAGGATTCAGTAGAAACCAAAAATGTTTTAGAAATGGGAACCTGCAAAATAGGTGACATGCTGGGCCATTGCTACCAACAATGATTTATGATGTAAGCAGAAATCCATCTGTAAACAGATGTTCTTGCGAAATCAAGAAAAATTCAGAGGTGCAAACTGTGGGTAGCTTGAATTTGATGTTATGCTCTTCATTTACATACAACTTAGTCATCTGTGTCCTCGCTCACACATGGAGCACACAAGTAAAATAAGTGGGATTGAACAGAATAAAAACATTTATAAAAAGGATCATACATAAGTTACTTAAAGAATCAATTCACTTTTTCTCCCTTTGACAGTCTACATTTATGCCCAAAAGAGAAAACAATGGGACAGAAAAGTTAAGAACTCCATGAATCCTGACGATAGAGCACCACTAGGCGTCCTTCCATTTAGTTTTCAGTTGGAAAAATTTTTTTTAAATGTACTTAGTACAGGGTCTACAGGGTCTCACTACGTAGACCAGGCTAGTAGTGATTCTCCTATTTTCAGGCTTCCAAGTGCTGGGATTACAGGCACATGCCACCATGCCCATTCTCAATCACAATCTCAATGCACCCTGGGGGAGGGGCTGGCATGGCAGGCCAGGAATGAAATTGGGGGGACACCTGCATCTGCCTAAGCAGGCACATTAATCCACTGAGCTATCTGGCCGGCCCTGCAGTTGAAAAATGTTTAAAGTAAAATAAAAATTCACAGAAAGCTTTGAAAGCTCAGAAATGTTTAAAGCAAGTATCTTTAGATGCAAGATAAATAATTACCTCCTCAAATATGGGCTCAAAAAGCTAATCACCACTTTTGAAAACTTTAGTCCACTAGAGATTCAATTAATTTCTAAACAAAAATGAAATTATTGTAAAATTTGCCAATTAGTATTTCAAAAATAGCACAACCTTTTTAACTATAACACGTAACTATAACTGCTACTTATTAAGCAAGTAGTTGCCCCAGAAATAGGCTAGTGCTTCTCAGCGGGTGGGGAGGCAATTTTGCATCCACAACAAAAAGCCGTCAGGACCAAATACAAACAGGTTTGGAACTGAAAAATCTTGCACAAGGATAACCACTTTCTTTCTTTCTTCTTTCTCTTTCTTACTTTTCTCTCTCTCTCTCTCTCTCTCTCTCTCTCTCTCTCTCTCTCT